TTTTTTTTTTAACATCTTTAGCTTGGTTTTGTAGAATCCTTAGTTCAGTTTATCTAGATCCTGAAGCAGACAACCAAAGGAAAAGCAAACTTTGGAAGTAAACCAAACTGCATGAAAATACATAAGCAGTCTTTTCAGTTTTTTTCTTTTGAAATTTTTCTGTCACAGTACATAATCAAGTAACACAAGTTAGCTACTTGCTAGAGCTTGTCCTGCACAAAAAAAAAATGCAATTACACAGTTCTGAAAAAAAAAAGATTAGTCTCCATTTATAAAAATCAGCTCTAGTGTGAATACTGATAATAATGTCAGTTTTCCAATACGAGATTTACATCAATACAGGATCTAACTTGATCTTACAACTACTGAGACCTGCAGGGTATTCAAGGATCTCTTTATTTCACGTCTGCATACAACAGTCAGGTCTCCTGACATTTTATATAGTGTGCAGAGCACTGTACCCAGGCTGGATTTCCCAAACACTTTCACACTGAAGTAAATAAATACAGTGTGTAGACAGAAATGCAGGCTTGAACATAGATATTGAGGAAAAGGAACACCTTTGTCTAAAGTTTCAGACAGTTTCTTGTATGTATCAGTTGCTGTTATTCATTGTGTATCAACAACAGACTTAAATGAATGAAACTTGGGTTTCAAAGTGTTTAGCATATTCTATTGTAGAAGGAAGTAGAATTTAATATAACAACATGCAAAAACAGAGGTATAATTACACACAGGCTCTTGAAACTTAGCAATTTTTTCTGCAGCAGTTTTCTACCTTTCCTCCTTCTCAGCTTCTCTCTTCCTTTTAAGCTCTTCAAGTTCCTCCTCTTCTTTCTTCTGCAAAGTATATTTTTCCAGCAGTAACTTAATGTGGCATCAGTGCTGGTGTTCTTCTTGTTGCTTTTTCTCCTTCTCAACTTCTAGTTTTAGCTGTGATGTTTGTTCCACTGCAAATGCTAGGAATTTCTGTTTCTTCCATGCCTCAGTTGCTACTTGTCTTTTTCTTTCTTCATCTGCTTTTTGCTTCTGAGCTTCTTCACATTGTAGCCATTCTTCCTTGAGCATTTTTTCTGATTTCTCTTTCTCCTTTACTTTCCATTCTTTTTCCTGCAGCTGCTTTTTTTTCCACTTTTTGATTGACTGCAAAAGAACAGCAGGGGTAAAAAAAGTTTTCATGAAAGTTTTACACATTCCTGTTGATTTGGTCTGATGAAAACATGCCCCAAGGACAAAAACTACAGATAAAAATTAGAAGTCTACTAAAGGCAAAACTTAAGGCAAAGAAGCGCCTACATCTATTTTGCCACAATTTTCTGATAAATTTTATTTTCCTGTTTTATGCATCACACAGGTTGACTATACTCCTAAAATTATTGAAGTTATTACATTTATGTTGATAGAATAGAAGGGAACGTGTCTTTACAATAAGGGATGTTTCAATCAATACCTTTTGGTACGATAAGGGGACGATTTATGGGGTGGAGAGGAAGAAATGTTTGTATTTATAATTACTGGTGCCCCAAAGTGGTAGGTTGGCCACTCTGCACATAGAAGAACCAAACAAGAAGATGAAGAGACTCTGTGGAACTTACCAGAAAGAAATAAACAGGAGATAGGAAGCACCTGAGAACTTGACTGAAACTGAACAAAACCAGCTACCTACCTCGACAAGTTTGGATAGCCTAAACTTTTGAACTTCAGGAACAAGTACGCATGCTCAATAGACTTACACATAGTAACTTCTCCTCCCAGGGGAGGCATAAAATTAAGTTAAAGAGAGGTACAACACATGATGTGAACGGGGTTATATCTTAGGGGGATATGTAGGACGTGGATCAGATACTCTGTACACTCCTAGTACCTCAGCCAATGGGAAAAGGAGAAGGGACATATGCAGCCAGAAAATTAGGGTACAAAGGGGGCTGCTTCCCCCAGCAAATCTGAGAGACCCACAGGGATATGCCTGTGGACTTTCCCATTATTCAAATAAAGTATATTTTTACAGGCAGGACTCCTCTGTCTCCTCTGTGAACATCAACCTCTGACAGCGGGATTTTCTACACAACATTAACCTTGCATAGTTATGAATGTTGGTGTAATAGGTGCTTTTTATTAATGCAAACATATTTCATGTCTTAATTTTTTCCCTCAAATTAACAATCCCACCTACTATTTTATAATTCAGTTTTTGAGTCGGTGTATATTTTATTATTCGGATAGTTCTGGAAGAAATCGTAATTCTCTGTGTCAGTAGCGTGTGAGTATATTGGTTATATGGTCAGACAGACATTCCTAAGGACAGCTCTAAGAGCTGCAGTTTCGGATGGGATCACTTGCTGCCCTGGCATTGGCAGCAAACATGCTGGACCACAGCCATCAAAAGCATTTATAATCTACTTCAGCAATACACTGCCCCCTTCAGTGTGTTGTTAGGTCTGCGCTTACTGGCAATTCTTTAAGATGCATTTTTTGGCAAGCTGACAATGCTAAAGACTTCAGTTACGTGCCATCAGCTGTAAAAAAAAATCCACCTAGTGCTACCACCAGAAAGGCAATGCATGCATTTAAAATTTAAGTACTTTTTCTTTAAAGTGACAAAAGCCCTAGAGGGGTTATTTTACCTCTTTCTTTCTGTTGTGTAAAATTAGAAACTCTTGATACCATTTGTCATGTTGTTCAATATCTTCTTTTGCTCTTCCACAGAGACACTCAAGGGCCTCATCCACATAAGACAGCCTTCCTTTATGTTTTGTCCATACTTTAAGAAAATTTTGATGATCGTAATCATCCCAGCCTCCTTGCCGCCCTCCTGTTCGCTGAAGAAATCGTTCAAACTCTACTACTTCTCCGGGCAGATGATTTTCCAGTGTTTGATCAACTGCAACCCTGGCTGATGGTAATTGGAAAGGTTTTCCTGTTGTTGAGCTGCCTGACGCCCACAGTTCCACTTTTCTCTCAAAGACACTGATCTCATTAGTGGCCGTTCTTTCCTCCTTTAAAAACTGCTCATATCTGAAAAGAGAACAAGCACTGAAATGTAAGGGAAAAAAAAAAAACAGTATGCATTGTTCATTGACTGAAAATTAATTTTGGAATTGTTCAATGCTACGCAAAAGCTGTTCGTCAAAGATGAGGAACGGAAATGCTAGAGCAGATAGCATGGTTGTAATGATCCCATAATAAAGCACTACACAATCAGAATTAATTTAGCCATTTAGTAAAAGCATACATTAATGGCAATCAAAGAACTAACTCACTCCCATCCCCCTGTCTTCTCCCCCTCTCAGCAGAGAAAGGGAAAAAAAACCCCAGAACACTCACTTTAAAAGACAAAACAATAGGAAAAACAAAAGCCCCACAATTTAATCTCTTCAGCAGCCTTTCTCTGAAAAGCCTTTTCACAGGCAAGTAATTGTTACACTGGATTACTGCAATAGCTACATAAACAGCCTCTAAAAGGCTTGTTATAAAGATTCTAATGTGGATAGCTTGAGTTTTGATTTACATACCACAGGAATCACAAGCAAAAGAGTAAATCAGAATAATAGTTTACGTCATTAATGCAAAGTTTTAATTCTGTCTTATGAAAGCACTTTTTCTTGTAGCTGAAGCATGGATAAACATACATTTGCCTCTGTTCTTCTTTAAAAGCATTGATTGCATTTTCAACTTCTTCCATCATTTCCTTGAGCTTGAGAACAACTGAAAAGGAAAAGAAGAAAAGAACATATCACTGAAGATGCCTGCAGTACTTATGGCACTATCCAGAAATCTAGGCAGTTGCAGATACTTCTGGGACACTTTTATTTCAGTGTGAAATTCATGTGAAAAACCATGTGCTTCTACCACAAACAGCCTTAAAAGACAGACTGATTTATTCAAAAGGTGTGATTTCACAGTGATTTAACTAAAATGCTGGATGCAAATCCCAGCATAAATGTTTATTTCCACTAAGCAAGCAAGTTTCATTCTGAGTAACCTCCAACTGATTCAAGGAATAAGACAGCCGTATCCAACAGAATTTCCCCTTCTGTTTTTTTAACTTAAGAAGCATGCTCAAATCTGGTTTACACCAGGTTGTAGCAGTCCTATTTAGCCTACAGGTCACTATTTTAAAAACCTGACAAAAAAAATAAAAGTAAGACTCTAGCCTGTACCTATCAGCATGCTGTAGTCCTGATAGAGAGAAAGATGGCAAGGAAGCTAATAGACCTATTTTGCAATGGTAGAAAAAAGTTTTATAGTCTGTTTTAAACCAGTACAACTTCTCTATGGACATACACTTGAATACATAGTTTAACTAACCTGGCTTAATAAAAAAAAAAAAAAAAGGAAATTCAGTTTGTACAGTTTTATCATCTGTAATTCCTAGTTCAGATTTTGTGCCTTGTTTTTTAGAATCATAGAATTGTTTCAGTTGGAAAAGACCTTTAGGGTCATTTGAGTCCAACTACAGTTCGTGCTATCTTTGCTGACAGCTTAAGAAGGTAATGCATTTTTTAGAGAACAGACACTGAGTTAATGAAATGAGGTGCAGTTTATCTAGCATGAGAAGGCCCTCAGCTTGTAGGAAGGCTTTAACCTGAGCTCCGCACAAGGTCACAGAGTGTCAAAGGAGAATGATTCTTTCAGTGCCCATTTCCCACAAGTTTCAAAACATCAAAACTGAATTAATTGTTTCAGCATATTTCACAGAATATTCCCATTTATACTTACAAGCCATGTGGACAGATTGAAATTAATTTCCTGTAGGAAACTAATAACGCTTATCAGATGAAAGGGAACTATACCTAAATGGCTCTAGACTACTTATTTTACACAAGGCAACAAGTTACATATAGAAAATATCTGCCTTTCAGCAGTCTAAAGAACAAACCCATACCCCTTCTAAAAGAAAGTTTTTCTGTTTCCACACAGAACCACATGATCTTTCACAATTTCTTACATTCTGGCATTCTTCCCTTCCCAGATTCCTGGAAAAGCAGACAGACTGGAGAAGGAGTACCTCGAGTCTGCAGGAGAATCACAAGCCTATCTAGGCAAGAAACCTACCTACAGAGGAAAGTGGTTTTAAATCTGCCATCACAACTTACATTCAGGTGTTGGCTTCACATCTTTTAATTGTTGCTGAAGTCTCTTCACATTATTTTGTACTTTTGATAGCTGCTGCAGGATCTTAGCTTCTGTTATACAAAACAAGGTGCTGATTGTTCTAACAGTTTCCTAGTACCTTACATTCAGTAATATCAAGAGCACAAAGTGTGTCCAGAATAAACTGGAATTTCATCAAAGCAGGGACACAAATTCTGTTTCATCCTAAGAAACTGCCACAATACTAAGCATTGTAACATGACTGTCACTGCATGGAGGTGACTGCACAGGCTGTGTATCTCCTCACACAGTATCACCAGATTTTAAAGCTAGCAGATCTTTCTGCAGGGGTCAATGGTATAGTCATATCTGGATTAAATCAGGGTGGGTTTTTTTCCCCCAAACCTCTTATCAGGTAACCAGAGTTTGGAGAATACTGCCTATGCAGATGACACCTCCTTGAGAATTTTGAGGGTGACTCAGACCAAGGCCTCAAAATACTCAGCAGAGAAGAGAATACAGACTTGGAAGGTGTATGTGAGTGTACTATGTCAGCAAGATTTGGCTGCTGCATTAACTAAAGGAGAATCAGTGTTTTTCTGTACTCCAAGCATACATAGAATCATAGAATCCTTT